ATTTCAGTGCCGTGTTCGGCCCTCAAGTAACCAAAATATGCCTGTATTCGACGAGCTTGATGATATGTTTCAGCAAAACACCTTACTTTTACTATTGTGGATATTCGTAACCAACCAACAGTCAAATTTGTTCATAGAATGATGATCTAGTTTATCGGGCTTGTAACTTCAGAATACGGTTTATCACATTATAAACAAGCATACCATTCATATTCTTCCCCGTGTACTGCCATTATCCAAGCATTAATTTTGCATCGGGGATTTTATTCTATACAGCCTCAGTTGTGGCACATGTTGTCTATTACCTTGCCCAGTCTGAGCCCTAATGCAGGCCATTTGTTTGCACAGTCTCGGTTTGATTGTCAATAACCAATTGTGATTTGCTTATGTCGTGCGTTTTTGAAAACGCCCTATCCGTTGTCTGCCTTTAAAAAGTCACTCACAAGGTACTCATGCTATTGCATTGGATGGTTAAAACGCCTTGGTTGCTGACATTCACTTTCTGTGATGAGACGTTTGTGGAACGGAGTAATTTCAACTTATGCTTAACTTTCCCACTCACACCTTAATTTAGAAAGATTACGGGTTCAAAAATCTGTGCAATGCTGAATTTAAGAGTATCTCTGGAACACACAATGACATTCAAAAATGTCGAAAATTTGACACCCTTAATTTAGGGCCATTTAATGTGATCTCACTGTCATCGAAAAATGCAACTTCACTGTCGGCATTGTTCAACATGTTGGTTGTTTCGGGAAACTCAAACGAAAAGTCAGAAATATTTCTGTAGAACGAGTATGCGATTTGGCTGATTATTAAACTATTTTCGTATTTTATTAGCGTGCTTATTCGCAGATATCAAGCTACTGGGAAGACTCAAAAATTGAATTTGCTATGTTTACCCAATTACAAACAGGATAGAAGTTTACGGTTTCATCTAAAGTGCTAAATTCTAGGTCTAGCTCCGAGGGACTTCTGTTATCTTCGGGCTTATTGTAGACGAAAATCAGGTATTTAAGCATCCAACACTTTAGGCAGATGTTTAGCGGGCGAACTTATTTGACGAGTTGACGGTTTAATATAGATTAATCTAAGAGACACGTCCCAATAATGGACTATTTGAAATGGAAACGGTTACTTCGGAACATTCCTGGGAATCATCGTACTCCTCCCAGAATGTCTTCGTTGAAGCTATTCTCCCAGTGGCTTTCCCGTGGCGTGGCTGTTCTTTGGGAGATCTGTTGTGAACCTACTGCATTCAATACACAGAGATTACTAATTCATGTGCAACCACCTTTAAGCATAGAGGAACGGTAAACTACCCGGAGTGCCAGTGCACGGTCAGACTTTCTAGTTATTAATGGTTTGCTCCTTATGGAAACCGATAACCCCAAAATTTACTTTGAGGTCACAGTTGCTTATGGTGTCTCTAATGATTAATCGATAAAGTGACAAACCCGTTCACACTGATAATTTGAACTACTAAAGATCTGAGTGATGTCCACTGGTAGTAGCGTGTTTGCTTGACTCAACAGGCGTTAAGCCAGGTAATATTGGACTGAAGTAACATGTGGCATACTCTAAAAGGTTCAATTACACATGCATTACTCAAAAATCCTGGTTGAATAAAAGCCGACGGATCTCAGTGACATCTTCATAATGAGGTGACCCACTTCAATAATATCAAGCAAATAAAATGCGATGCTTCAGGACTTTTTACCGACGGTTCAAAAACTATTCACCAGTAAAAAAGTAAAAAAATGCGACAGAAGATTGAGGAATCCAGGGTCACTCAACTCATACAAAACCGGCGGAAAAATATTTCAGCAACAGTGCTGAAACAACCTTAGGTCGCTCATATGTTTCTTGTCACGGTTTGACGAAATATAAAAGGGAGTAAAAATGCCATTAACCATTATAAGATTTTTCCTTGTGCAGAGATCATTATCCAGAGATTTTGGGCCTGTTTCTCTGGTGCCTGTGGAATTTATCTACATAATGTTTTACTTGATGTGATATTATAAAATAAAACTTGACAAAATGTGTGGTGAAACAGGTGAGGTTTTCTGTACTGCAGAATGACAGCAGGAGAGCAAGGGAAAAATTTTTGGAAACCAGATAATTTCCGGCGGAAAGAGAAATAATTCCACAGGCGGGAACTACAAGTCCTAGTACTCAGATAGCTGTATCAAAGAAACCAAGATTCTAGCAATCCACGAGATCCATTGTCAGGACCGAAATCTTGCCCGGCACCAAACGGCTTTCGAAGCACTCTCAGACTAGATTGTTGATTTAAAATGTGCACATTGTGAATCTGTCTAAATATCAGGTTATCCCAATATCTGGCCTGAATTTTGAAGCTACAAAACTTGATGAATCAAAGTATTATTTCACACAAGTCTGGTTCTTTCGAGAGACTCAACTGCAACCCAGTTGAATCTCTCGTTTTGGATGTTCTCAGTCCACTGAAAGCTGAGTTCCAGGTGAGTCTCTCGAAAGAACCAAATTAGTTTGCAAATGCGTGTATATTCACTAATTTCGTGTAATTTGAGTTCAAGTAGAACATAGGGTTGACGGAAACCCTGGAACTGCGCCTACCTGAGGAGCCCCAAGATTGGCGAAACCAGTCGTGGGCTGTCGATGGATTTTCAGCAACCTTATGAGTAGCACATTACGAAGATATACATGTATCGCGATATTTCAAATATCGTAACGACTGAAATATGAGGCAGCCTAGTGCAGCACATTCAGTTGCCTGAGAACATCAAAAACGAGAGATTTAGCTAAGTTCCAGGTGAGTCTCTCGAAAGAAACAAATTAGTTTGCAAATGAGTGTATATTCACTAATATAGCTGCTTGTTCACAGCCTCCCTTGGAACCAGCATAGTTTTGAGTAAACGTTGCATATTTAGCCAACTCATTCACTCCAATGCTGCTAATTAAACCTATTGAGTATTACAGTAATTTGTCCAAAGAGTAAGACAAATTTGCTATTTTCTTGATTTGAGTAAGAATTACCAACGTTCAAGAAGTATGGCAAAGTACTGGGTATACGAAACAACTTACTAGGTATACAGTACCAGCGCCAAGATCTTCAGTTTCGGTCCAAAAATCGAATGCTCCAAATGACTAGGTGCGTCTTTCTCAACGCTAGTGTACGCCAGAAATCGTAGCCAGCACGCAGTAGAACCTATCATCATTATTCTAATTTTGATGGGCAAGGAGCAGTTGCAACCGCCGGTTTGGTCAAGATGATTCTGAGGATTGCACCAACCAGTTTTAGTTGCTACTACTTCAAAGACCTGTTGAGCACACTAGCGATCATTTTGCACCTTGTTTAGTGTATTCATTCTAACTTGCCTACATCGCCTGACAATGTGAATATGTGTCCATTCTTTTGCATTTTTCTGAAGCCTCTCCCCCCTCTACATTGTTCTCCCGAATCAATTAAATTGGCTTTAGGACAATGAAATTAAGTGCGTCTACAAGAGAAAGGAAACCATAGATTTACTCGCACCAAGTGCGGAAATTGCTAACCTCCTAATCTTCCAGATATTTGGCTGCGTTCTGTTCAACAGTCTGTTTAATTATAATTGTTTCAAACGATTTCCCTATCGCTCTTCTTTCACGTCGATTATCAGGTCACTTGCATGCAACGCAAAAACATCCCAGCAATATTTGCTTTCAGAGAATCTCTGGCCGCTTCTTCGACTGATGGCACAGGTCTCCCAGCATAATTCAATTACGTAATATCAGCGTGGGCTGGTGGAAATCGGCTAGTGAGCACACTGACAAGAAGCTTTAATTTTCTAACGCTGATCATGCCCTTGGGTGCCAAGTGTGATCAACAAAGGTAGCATATTGTACGGATATATCTAAAAGAGCGAATCAAATGAAAGTAACTGGGAAACAGACACCTATTGAGCCGTCCAAACCATAAAGCGATGTTGGTTCATCTTGGTTTATTTTCACCACTACACATGCTCTAAGTGAGTGACAAGGACAGACTTTTGTTTAAAACGACTGCCGTTACTAACTTTCCGCCATTCTGCAAATAGGCCCTTGACTCCTCATGAATCGATGGAGAATATTTTCTACTGTACACCTTCACGGCAACATTTCAAACCTATATTTAATGGTGTGCATATTGGAATTTGAATGTTGGTATTAGAGAACCACGCTAGAGCTTCAACTGATATGCGCCCAGATTATCAATGGACGCGTGTCTTTAGAACCACGCTAAACACAATCTAAAAAACAGAAAGTGTTCGCTTTGTTTTCACTAGGTTGTTCCAAGTGGGCACCCTGTGTAAGAACTACGTATAATCTCTACATGTCATCTACGTCATCTGTACATCAGACGGTACCAGTGGTGAAGCTACTGAACTTTCATTTCTGATGTATCACAGTAGAACCAGTTGGATAACCCACAAAGTTTCACAATATTACGTAATCTTATATTTCCAGAAAGGCGATGATTCGGATGACTATGCTATACCGCAGGAAAGGTGCATAAATCACTCGTCGCATGAGTCTTAGCAATCAAAATATATGTTTAGCTTCACCACCCTAAAGACCGCTGTGATAGGCCTTTAAGAACATTCAAGCACCGTGAAACAACCGAATAAAACAAATTTTGAATAAAAGTGGCTTAGCGTGTATAACTGAAGGATAAGACATATACGCCCTCATCTATCATATCGTAGTGACCCACCTCAATCAGACAGAGATTTGAGCTAACTTTCCGACTTGTCTTTATCTGATCAGCTAATGGTTGACTCGGGTGGCAGACTTGAAGGTAATCAGTGTCAACCTATAGTTGCTTCCCAGTTCAAGAAGCTGAATACAAGATACAAGGCCCCTATATTAGGTGACTCATTGTGCATCCCACACACAGTACAAACCATGTCACTTGTTAGTAACCGACGTGCAGAAGGAAACGCTGCCAACTACAACTTCTCATAGACAACACTTCAATTTATTTGATAAGGCGAACTTACCCGTACGGCACTGAAAGATGTCAATCTTCACTTTCTGCGACGCCTCAAATAAATAGTTTCGTCCAATTATCCAACCAGGGCGTTTCACAAGCACAAATATGACGACCGTCACCACCATTGCTCCTGCCATTACGGTAACGCTTAGCAAAGCGCGCATTAAGGGGGTTAGTTCATGAATAGTTTGAACCCGATTTTCTTGGCCATATTGACCCTGGGGTTGGATTTCACAGTGGACTGATCCTGGGTATCCTGAGATCTCCAGAGTTAAACTGGTGTTGTTGGTTAGTCTTGCGGACACTACTAATTCCAGGGCCGACCAAAGATGTCGACCAACATCACTGTCATGAGCCATGAGTCGAAAATGAAACACGGTTGGTAGGTCCTGATCAATAAGCTGCTTATTCGGAACTAGACAGCCACTTCTGTTGTTAAGTGTTAAAAATTGCTTTGCTCGTGAAACGTCCGTTGAAGACAGACAACTAGGAATGATTGAATAAGATACGGCTCCATTTTGTCCTATATCGGCGTCACGAGCTCTAAATAAAACACCAGGAATTGACGCTGAGTCACCGGACAAGAAATGGGGAACAGTGTGTTCATAAGTGAAATTCCCATTCAAGATAAACAATTGATTGTTTGACTCTGGGTCCGCGGTAACCAAACCATTGAAGCAGGGCTTCAATGGCATTAGAAAGATGGGAGTGTGGTCATTCATATCTAAAATACGTACAGATATATTCTTCAGCGTAGTTTTCATCGGTGTTCCGTAATCCTGAGCGTAAATATGCAAAATAATCTCGTCCCCATCTCCTTCCCGGTCAAGAAAACGCGTGGTTGTTACCAAACCTGTTCTATTGTTGAGCAAAAACGGGCTTTCGTGTATTGCTGTGGTCGCGTTATGTTCTACTTTATATACTCCTGCCAACCAAAAACTAACACGTCCAGCCTCCTGACGATCAAAATCAATCACCTTTAGACGACAGACTGCTGTGCCTGGGGGTTCATTTTCCATAATTTTTATGATATTTGAAGAGCTAGTGCGATTTTCAGGGTGCTGAATTCCACTATGAAACTCTACGTCAATCAGGATTTCAGGTGGATGCTGATTAACAGTTTGAATCCATACTGAAATTGGAAGGCTGGTTGTCAAGGCAGGTTCGCCTTTGTCACTTAAAATTACCTTAAAGTTGTGCCACTGGTGAGCTGGTGCACTTAGCAATGAAGATGTAATAAGCAAACTGCCGGTTATCCCGCTGATGGATAAGAACCCCTTCCCGGGAGTCAGTAAATGATGTACATCAGTCGATGGAGGTGCAAATCCACTTCGTTCATCCAAACTGATCTGAAAAAGCAGTTCGCTGTTTTGAGAATCATCGGCATCATATCCTGAGAAATAGGCAAGCGTTGTGTTTGGGGGTAGCGTTTCGGGGACAACGATTTTGATTTCCTTTTGAAAAGGAGTCAGGCTTTTCAATGGACCACGTTTTTCTTCAGGTACATTTGGCAACCAGTCATGTTTGTTTATCCATATTGCCGGGGAGACAATAACAGGCAAGTTGAAAATGGGTGCGTTGTCATTTTCGTCCTTCACGGATATTTGAAGCAGGAGAGTTGATGATCGTGGCAGTACCTTATCAGCGTCATGACAAACTATCGGGATGTAAATGTGTGGCTTCATTTCCCAATCCATAATACGCGAATTTACAAGCTGATAAAATTTTGAACTTTGTTTCGATGAAAGAATGGCACAAGGATCGCCAGATTTGTTGCTCGCAGACTGCCTAACAAGAACACTATTACCCATAAGTAGCTCTTGGACATGCTGCAATAGGTATTCGCCATTGTTAACCGAACAAGACACATTACCGCGTTCCAGTTCGTCCAAGTCCCAGCTCTCCAAAAATGCTACCACCGAACCTGGCTTCAGCCATTCTGTCACCCAAATAGTTAGTTGCATTTGTACGCCAGCAGTCAAAAGGGAGCAAGCATCGGGATCACTGCAACCAACTAAGCCATTCGGGTTCGTCAACACGTGTTTTCCCCACACTCTAATTGAAGGGCTATTATCATTATCGTCTAGAAGAAAAATTATCACTTTGGTTGTTGCAGAACGCTCAGGCTGCCCATGATCTACAGCTTCCACCTGAAAAACTAATTTTAGATCTTGCTCCCTATCAAGCGGACTGTGAACTCTAATCACGCCGGTCCCTGCATCAATCCGGAAACGGTTTTTCCAGGTGTGCCGACAAGATCCGTTAAAAAAGGACTGAAGTAGACGATAAGTTACTTCCCCGTTCGCCCCAGAATCCTCATCATCTGCGTGAACGCCACCAACCTTCGAGCCTGGAGATGTAGACTCGTGTACATGGAACACATAAATGCTTTTCTCAAATTTTGGAGGGGAATCGTTCACATCTTCCACTATTACATGAAGGAGCAAATGTCCCGTTTTCTGACGTACCGGCGCTTGATCCGTTGCTGTTATCATGATTTGGTACGAAGATCTCATTTCTCTGTCCAGTTTTGACTGCAATTTTAGGAAGAGCTCGTCAGAGTAGTCCATCATTTCCAGCAAAAAAGTTGGTTGCCCATTATCTAAAATGTCGATGCTTTCCAGTAAACTTGGAATCGAAAGGTTTTTTGAATGCTGTGAAATGGAATGGTTGAGATAAAAAAGATCATAAGAAACCCTAGCATTTCTACCAAGATCCCTGTCCACGGCTGAAGGAAGCCGGAATTTACTGCCCGGTCCCTCAGATTCACTCACGAACAAAGTATATTCTGACGGTTGAAATGAAGGTGTATTGTCATTTATGTCTATAATATTTAGTTGCACGGTGATAAATTCATTGTTATCCGAAAGCGTGTACGGTCTGATTTGCGGATTCGTATTACTGTCCACCACGGGTGCCAGTTGTAACAGCAAGTGTAGGTGGATTGTACATAGGCCGGAACTACTTTCACATAAGCAATGGGAATTTCGATAGCTGAGTAGTGCTGAATTTGGACCCTCAGTTGAAGACGTCCAGTCCACAATGGAATGATCACACATTACCTCCCGATCGATCGAACGAACGAGAATGAGATACTGTTTGAAAATTGTCCGTTGAGTTCCATCTAAATTGCTACGGAATTTGGCCTGACGAATTTCAAAATAGCTGAAGTATGGTTGTGTGGAAGGGAATATTATGAACCTGCGCATGGTGCTTGGAAAAGATTCAGTGCCGTTTACGTTGTCGAAACAAATATCGGCTGTCAGATCACCTATGTGAATGGGCACAGGCGTTTCTTCTTCAATCTGGTAAGTATGGTGAATACCATCAGGTTGATCTGTGCATTTCGACTCACAGTATTTAACATCCACGAAAATTCCAAAGAAACCGATCACAGTGAATACCGCATAAGCGCAGAGCGGCGATAAAGGATGACAGCATTGTAACATACTGCTCACATCATTGACTTCCACATGAAAGTTGAACTGCCTGTGCATGCACAAATCCTAATTACCCCTTGATGGATATAAGCCGCCTGAAATCCCACTACCCTATTGGATGGAATAGCTGAAATCCCATTGGATGGACCACAGAGTTTGTTTGGTATCGTGCATGGATTCCGTGTTATTCGTTTTGGTGAATAAATTCTACGAATGTTGTTGTGCGCTAGTCGTATCCTACTGGGATAGCGAAAACTAAAACTTTTGCGCATGCTCGCAGTTGTGTATTACGCTGAGTCACAAAAACCAGTCAGACATCGGTAACAAACAAGCGAAATATACTCAGTTTATTCCCATGAAATGTGGCCAGTGGCAACAAGTGAATAAAATGACAGCCACGATAATCATTTACGCCAGATAAGGCAATGGTGACAAAGTAGTTGTCAGTTTGAAAATGCCACTGTCGAAGTGGCACACGCATTGTGCGATCAGCGCGTTATTGTGTGCTATATGTGAGCTTGGTCGGGTAGACTTGAACCGTCTAGACTTAATGATAGCAAGAAAGTTTTCATTATTTTTCCCACAGAACCAAAACAATTTTCCGGTCTACAGACATTGCAGTTAGTTTGCCTTTAATTGTTTAGCAGAGTATTGTCCGGAATCAGTGATAATCTTCAGTTTTTCGTTTAACTCAACCGGTAATTACGGGATGAAAGTGCAGTCGATTCCGATCGTACATGAACTTTTGCGGGTTTTTCTTAAGCCGTTCAGAGTGAATAGCAAACTTTTTAATGTCGCATTTGAGACATTTTTGAGCACACACTAGTCATTCGAACCCTTCTGGTTTCCGTAAAAATCTGGTTTCGCAGCTTGTCCACAGCTGGCTTGCCTCAGAATCGTCCAATGAGCTTAGCTAACAGGTCCGCTAAAGGTGATCCTGCCTTCTTGGTTTATGTATTTGGGGATTTTGGCTGTCCACGGCGTAACAAAATTGCCGCATTTGGGTGCCGTTTACGCGACGCTACTCGCCAAATGCATTATAAGTTAGTCTTTTTGGTTGACATCGGAGATAGTTTGCACACAATGGTGCCATCAGTAAAATATTTATCCTTTTATGATCATGGGACACTATTTTGGCCGCACTCACCTCTCTTATGGAAGCCTATCATAAGGCAATTCTTGGAGGAAATCTCTGAAAAAATGCCCATCGATCGATCATCCAGGCATTTCTGTTTGACCCTTGAGTTATCGAGTGGTACCCTGACAACACATTGAGAGAACTCAGTAGTCGAGGCACGAACTTACTGGTTGAAATGACTGCAGTTCGAACTGAACTCCGCATATTGCACTGCATTTTTCCTATCAGCTATATTAGAATATTTCACAGCAGCCGCTGGTTGCTATGGATAACCTGAAGTACAAAGACTGTAATGTTGGAAAGGCCCAGGTTATAGACCGGCTTGCGGCGTTTGAACATTGCTACACTCTTGAAGAAAAAATATGCAGAATATAATTTCACGAGAGACTACCTGTTGTATAGGTGGCAGTTAATTACGTAATTTGTATAATTGAATTTCACAGCTCTCTCATTTGAACGGTCCTCCTCCTATACGGGTACAAGTAGCATGGTGAGTTCATATCAAAGGGCGAAATACTGGACCCGAACGTCACTTCTGTTAAAGCTGGTCAGCAATGCATATTCAAAGCGCTGGCAAGATTTGAACTTCCGTCGTCTACAAGGAGAACGCATTAGCATGATTACAGCATTTGACGTTAGGACACTCGAGTCATCAATTCTGAACAGGCAGACGTATTCACGTTAGAGCGGATTAGTTTCCAACGTTTAAACTGACGACACAGGCTTTGCTGATTGATTGTTCCATCTTTCAGGACTTCGCAGTTGGTCAGCACCACGGACGCGTGGATCTCACTGAAGAGCGAAATTCTAGCTCAGTATTTCTCTCTCTTATCTGAACTGAGCTGAACTGTTTAAAAAGCAGTGATATCAGGTTGAATAATTTACTTCACCAGCATTGCAAATAATTGTTCCTCAGTTCACGTGCCACGATCGCGTCAGACACGGGTTTTACGATTCTAAGGGTGAATATGGATTCGCGTGAATATGCGTCGGCAGACTGACAAAAATGTCAAGCTTATGGATTAGTCGCCAGTTTGCACTGTAAGTGATATCACAAGCTACATGTTGCAAGGGCACAAGTTACAAAACACAATATCACAAGTTGGGGTTTATTATTGATGATTTGGATGTACGGAACAAACCTCTGACACATGCATCAGTTATTCATTTTCAAGTCATCGTGAGACACTCGGTGACACGCTCTCACTCCAGTATATATTCTGGTGCATATTTACCTACACGAGTAGCCGGTTTACTTCCATTCCTAGCATTTGAGTCACTGGACGGTTTGGGCTTTTGTTCTACTAACTTCTATCCAGTGGTTTCCATGGATCATCTCCAAAAATGTTAAAATATACAAAAACAATATCTCCTGGAGGGCCCCATCTATTGTATATGTACTACTTCAATCCACTGACGGAGAGTTTGGTTGGAAAGTTGTATATCTGGAGAGAGATATTTAAACTCCGGCAAGGAACACCTTGGGTATTCCCCATGGAACAATTTCTTTGTTCAAAAGTGTTCAGGCTTTGAGGTTGACGTTTTCGGCCTCCCTAGACTAAGAGACCAAGTAGGCAAGTGACTATTCGCAGTAAACTAACGTTAACTACTTGTTAGAGATTTTGTATCATGAGTTAGCATGATTTTGTATCAAGTGAAATCACGTAATCTCCAAGTTGGGATTTGTTCATTGACCGTTCATTGCCTGAAATTGACAGGTGCATTGTGAATTATCCACGATTGAGAACACAATACAAAGTCTACTTTTTTTGTCCACCAGAATACGAAAACATGCTGTGGTACATATTAGTGTGAACCTGAACATAACCTGCGAAATACCTGGAGTTAAGTTTAACAAGACGTTATTTTTATCCGGCTTTGGTGTATTAGAGGCCGTTTTTACCTATACCAAAGGTGTTTCCATAGGGATCACTTGTTCTAGTTTTGGTGTGATGATGGTCACGATATCGGTGCACTAGCTTCAGTACACTGTTGTGCGACCAATAGAAAGGCCGCATCCCATTACCTAACACCACATAAATTGTCGTCTGTGAATGCATCAGTTTTGCGGGACTGCTTAGTATTTTCATATTTATGAAGAGCTGACCAACACTTAGGAAGCGTAATAAAGCAACATCTCCAGTAGTTATGGAACAAGGATGCAATTTACCTGGTAATGCCTCGAACAAAAGTCCCCAAGCTCTCTTCGTTGGATGATCAGTGGCGGAAGTCTGACTTCAAACTGCCACATTTTCTCCATAGCTGGACTTCGGAGTTCCAGTTTTGCTGACGGTTACCTAAGCGAGAAGTTTGTTCCTCAAAGCTTGACCATACCAGGCTGATGGTGTGCAGTCTGACAAAGTGAATGGGTAACCGAGGCAAATGCAGTTGCGGTTCTGGGTGGTGAGTGGGTGGGCTTGTATTACTCGCTCCAACAGAAGTTTGATAGGAGTAATGTGGTCTTTTCAAACGACCAGCATCCCTATATTTATCACAGCCATGCTACATCATCCCGAAAAGTGACAGATTAGAAAAGGTTGAACCTTCCATGAACAAACGGCTGAACTCGACCAAAGACACAGAATAAAACAACTGTAAAGTCTAGAGTTAACTGGAGCAATAAAGACAGCGATGCCTTGTATATTAAGTATTTAGTTCGTGAGCTTGTGATGAGTAAAGAAAACAAATCCATGTTACCTGCACTCCAGTAAAAATGTCTGAAGTCCTCGCAAATGTTTTGGACCCAAGGCGAAGAAGAGAACCACGTGTAATGATCAGTAACCAAAGAAAAAATACACAAGAAACTGCGCTCATCATGACGTGCTGAACGCTGACAACAAGACTCGCCCATCAGGCATAAAACAACCGTCACACAGGATAAATTCGTAAAGAAGTAAAGAAAGAAGTAAGAAAGAAAACACATCGCCATGTAGCACGGTGGTGAACAGACACATGTCAGTGACCGTAACCTATTGAGTCCTGGTCCAACAAAACCTTGATGCATTGAGTAAAAGGATACTTCGATGTAAAATCACCATGGGTTTGTAAATCAAAATGTCTGGGTCAAAATCGATGGTAGTAAAGCTGAGATGATAGTGTCCAAATGATTTGCAGTACCACAATTCTACTTCTGGTTCCGCACAATTCTTCCAAACCCATCCGAGAATTTGTTTAAGTATACGGTCGTTGCTTGGAGCTCCGAACAGCTATTAATTAGGACTTGTTGAACAAGGCGGGAATACGTACTTTCGAATCCTCAAAGACAGTGTACATCAGAGTGTGGAGACGACAGACGACCAAAGTCAGTTATGCTCCCTGCTGGTGAAAGCAGCACAAAGAAGCCAGAGCGAAAACGGTGTCCGATTCGTGGCCGTAGACCACATGAATCAGGGCGTAATTGGTTTACCTCATGCGTTAGTTCAATAGTGCTGCACATCCGATTTCTACAGTTAAAGTTAAGGTTTGTGACGTTTTTTGGTGTCCACATATTTCAGTCTGAGAGTGGAGAAATACAGATTCAGCATTCAGTGTCTGTCCTACAGAAACTTGCAGCTGCCTTATTCTGGGTGGTTTTATTGCTCGGAATTTACATGAAGAAGTATTATCGACGGATCAGTTTCAACAAAGCGTTTGATATACCTGCTGAAAGCAAAAAACATTCCAAAAATACTTATACGCTGCAACAAGAGTAAAATAAAACTAAGAACCATAACGTAAGAAAATTGTGGAGCGTCAGATTCAAAATGGCCAGATAAATATGTCAAAATTTTAGAAAAAGCCGTCATCGGTCATCATACTATGGTGAAGCTTCTTCTTCTACCTGTTCTTCCATTTCGCACATATTCGTGAGTCAAGCTGCGCTGCTAGCAACGAGTATGAAGTAAACATTCAATGAAACTTTTCTAGCATTTATTCTGCG